GCAGCTCCCACCAGAGGGCAGGCTGGAGAAATGGAAGGATGCACATGGCCCTGGCCCGTTCTGTGGCTACCAGGAAGGCAACAGGGAGGAGGCTTCAGGCTCTAAGCAAAATGAAATTTGGGGATCACCGGTGGAACAGCAGGCATCGCTGTAGGCTCACATTGGAACGAGGCTGAACTGAAAGCCACCTGCCTGCAGCTCAGGGGCAGAACTATCTGGTCCAACTGCCACTCAGGAAACTGAAGCATGACCCCATAGAGTGCACAGGCCCAAATTATAGTAAGTTACAAAGAAATGATAATCATTTACATGTGTGCGTGTCTGCCATTGTATGCCTCACTTTCACAGACCTTTTTCTTTTTAATTCTGATCCTGGGAGGCAGACATAGCAGTCAGTTCTCTCCCTAAAGAGTTGACAGCATAGAGGCAGGCAGTGTGCCCGCCTGGAGGTCTGTTCTGCGCTGTGCCTGGGTTCTATTCTGCACCCTCCTCCCCCAATCCCTCACTGTCTCTTCCTTTCAGTGGCTCTTCTCATTCATTCCATCTTGGCAGCAGCCGCTTGTGTAACTGAAACCGCAAGAAACTTTGTTTGGCTTCTAATTCAGAAGAAATTCCAGTAACTCACTTCCCACTACCTAAAAAAAAAAAGAAAGAAAGAAAAAAAAAGAAATCCAGAGTTCTGCTCTAGAGAATTCAGTTTTTCCCATGGGTAAAATGTTCACAAAAGAATGCTCTCTCTCTCCCCAGCTTCTCCCACTCCCCCTCTGAAGCCCCAACATCTGAAAGACATTGGCCCCTCACTCACGCAGCCCGGCAGAATACCCAGCACTTCCCGAGGGATGGGGTTGAGCTAGGGGGGTGGTGGGTTCTTGTTTCATGGCTGGAGCCAAGCAAGTTAAGAGTTGTTGAAAGACATGCTTGGCTGATCTCTCTTCTCACCCGGGTATACTGCTGATTTTCATTCTCGGTGGACAAGGAAGCCAGGGTTGAGATCTCTGGGCATCCAGCTCCGGGGTCAAGGAAAAAGGCAAAGCCAAGGCCTCTTTACTCCTCCCCACTGGCCACATCTAATATCTGCTAACATCCTTGCAAACAGCTTCCTGCCTGCATGAATGAATAACAAACAGCTGCTGCTAACTCAGGAGGAAGGACTTTACTCTGCATGTCCCAGGCCCTTTCTAATTGAAAGTGGGGCCTAGGATTTGGACCAGAGGGCAGCATCCTCTGGGAGCTTGTTCCAAATGCATCATCCTGAATCCCCATTCTGGATCTCCTGAATTAGAACCTGCATTTTCACAAGAGTCCCTGGGCTAACTGTATACACATTAAAGTTTGAGAAGCACCGTCTTTAGACTGTGTCCCAATAAACATTTCAGTGTAATAGGCACACACTGGGTACCTGCTGTGTACCAGGCACTGTACTGGGTGCTGAGGTGATGAAATTCTGAAAGTGGAATCCCTGCTGCAGTGAGTATACAGGACAGACTGGCTCATGGCAATGAGGCCCCATCCCTGCAAGCTGGATGTGGATATAGAGTCCATGGTCTTCCCTCATGGAGGTGAAGGCTCTAATTTGTCCCAGCCCAACCTTGTGACTTCAGATGCTTCCATACCCTGCATTTTCAGTAGTATTCTGTGGCTGATGTTGGTTCACTACCCAAATTTTCTCCTGAAAAAGGTTAGATACTTTGTCAGCCTCCCTTGCAACCAGTTGTAACCAAGTGGCTGGATTGTGTCACTAAGAGTAAGAAGTAGCCTTGCACCTTGCTGCTCAAAATGCAGCCATACTGACATACTCTGGCCGCTTGATAAAAATGTGGAATTTCAGGCTCCACCCAAGATCTACTACATCCAAACCTGTATTTTAACAAGATCCCCAGGGGATCCTTGTGTAGATTAAATTCAAGAAGTACTATGCTGGGGACTTCTGGAAAAGCCTGTTTTATATAAAAAGGGGCCAGTGTTATTCACTTCACTCCTTCCTGGTTCTACCTGCCTTGAATGGGGGCATGATCCCTGGAGCCCAATTGACCATCTTGCAACCATGAGGAAATCAGCTTGAATATGAAAAGCGAACAGGCTTAGTATAAGCAAGTTGAAAGAGATAGCCTTGGTTCTCAGCGGCATCTTGAGCTGCTGAACCAATTCAGTCCTTAAGTACCCTGTTACTTGAAGTGGAGAACATTTCTAACTGACATGTACTCTCTCTTCTTCAAATGAGCACAGATCTTGAGCCAGCTGATCAAGCCTGAAGGCAGCTAAAGATTCTGGTGAGGCCTGCCACAGCCAGACTGCAGGTCTCACCTCCTTTACTCTGGCAGGAGATAGGTGAGCTGTACCCGACTGCTCATTCAATGGGCACAGCTGGCTCTGATCCCGTGAGCTGTGACGGAAGAAGTGGTCTTGGTGACCACCTCCTAAGGCCATCGTTTCAGGCAAAGCTTTCCAGGCCTACAGGGGAGCCTGGGTTTTCTTCCAGGTGTGTATTTGGAATTCAGTTTCCATAAAGCTGCTGTTCCTGCCTCACTCCTGTGAGAGGCTCCCTAGGCTTCCCTACCGAGAGGGAAATCCAGGCATTCAGCCCTGCCTGCCAAGAGTGCACTGGGACTGTCTGGTGCCTTTGGGCTCACAGAACTCGCCTTACTTTGGGTTTAGGAAAGAAGAAGAGGGAGGAAGCAGGAGAAACTGGATGTATCCTAACCCAGCCTCTAAAGTGTCAAGTCCTGCAAAGTCCCCCAAACTCCAGGAATGTCATCCCCGTATTCCCTCCCTGCAGAATCTCCAACCAGTAGTCTGGCTTTGGGAATGGAAGCTCTGGATTGGTTTTGAGATAATAATCATTATAAAATTAGGTAAATCCTCCCAGGTTCTTCTAAAGGAAGGAAAAGAGGGAGTGAGGGAGGGAAGAAGGCAGGCAAATTACATATGGCAAAAAAAGAGAAGATTCGTAAATTTGAACACGCAGTATAGGAATTATCCAAAATGAAAGACAGAGAAAAAAAAAGAATTAAATAAAATGAAAGTGCCAGTGACCTGTTTGACAATGTCAGGAAGCCTAATACATGTGTAATTAGACTTCTCACAGGAATGGGGAGAAGAAGCAAAAAGCACTGTATAAATAATAGCCAGAAATTTACCAATTTCAATTTAAAAAATATAAACCCACAGGTTCTAGAAGTTTAGTGAAGGCCACGCATTAGAAACATGAAAAAAATAATTAAACCAAGGCACATCATAATCAAATTGCTCAAAGCAGTGATCAAGAGAAAATGTTGGAAGTGGCCAGGGCATAAAGGGCCCAGTGGAACAGACAAGAGTAATAGCAAGTTTCTTGTTAGAAACAACGTAAGCAAGAAGGCAGTGGAATCGTAGCTTTACAGGCATGAAAGAAAAAACGATCACCTGAGAATTCCATACTAAGTAAAAATATCCTTCCAAAATAAAAGTGAAAAATAAGGACTTCTTTTCAGACACAAAAAAGCTAAAAGATTTTAATCCTAGCAGACTTGCACTATAAGACATGCTAAAGGGAGTCCTTTAGGCAGAAGGAAAATAATATGAGATGGAAGTGTGGATCTACATAAAGGAATGAAGGGTACCAGAAATGGTATTTACACAGTTAAGTATATATGATTTTCATTTAAAAGATCACTGGCTGCCTAAACAAAAGTAGTAACAATATATTGTGAAATGAAGAACAAATGTACAATTAGCATGTATGGCAGCAAGAGCATAAAGGCCGGGAAGGGAGAAATCTAAGTGTGCTGTTGTGAAATTCCTATACTATATATGAAGTGGTTTGGTAGCAACTGAAGACAAACTGTGATGATTCAGAATGTATACTATGAGCCCTACAGCAACTGTTAAAATTACAAAACCATGGATTGTAGCTAATAAGTCAACAGAAGAGATGAAACTGAATCCTTAAAAATACCCAGTTAATCCAAAAGGAGGCAGAAAGAGAGGGAAAGGGAGCAAAGGATACATGGAACTAACCGAAAACGACAGCAAGAGGTCAAACTTAAGCATAGCCATGTACCAAGAGCAAATTGCTTGACTATGCCAACTAAGTCAGGCTGAACAAAAGAGCAGGACCCAACAATCTGCTGCTTATGAGAAATCCACTTTAAATATAAAGAAACAAATAGGTTAAAAACAAAGGAATGGGAAAAGATATGCAGCTGTCCCTCTGTAACTGTACAAGATTGTTTCTAGGGCACCCCTCCTCGCGCCCTGCACATCCTCACATCCTCAGATGCTCACGTCCCTCACGTCAAATGGTATCATATTTGCCTATAACCTATGCACATGCCCCATATACTTGAAATCAGCTCTAGATTACTTATAATCCCTAAAACAATGTAAATGCTATATAAATAGTTGTTATACTGTATTTTTTTATTTGCATTATTTTTGTTGTATTTTTTATTTTTATTTTTGAATAGTTTCAATCTGCATATGCAGAACCCAAGAATACAAAGGTCCAACTATACAGTATGACACAGTCAAAAGGACACTGGAGTGTCTATATCAATATCAGGCAAAGTAAATTTCAGAGCAAAAGCTATCACTAGGGATTAAAAAGGGCTTTTTACAACAACAAAGGGGTCAAGTCTTCAAGGGCCACATTACAATCCTAAATGTTCACGCATCTATTAACAGAGTTTCAAAACAAATACATGAAGCAAACACTTTTCTTTGTAGAAACAGGCAAACTGATTTTAAAATTCCTATGAAAATGCAAAGGTCTAGAATAACCAAAACAACTCTGAAAAAGAACAAAGCTGACGGGGTAACCAGCACTATCGGATAACAAGACTTATTATTACGGAGCCATAGTAATCAAAGCAGTGTGGTATCAGTGTAAAAATAGACAAATGGATCAATGGAACTGAACAGATGGTCTAGAAATAGACCAACACATATATGGAAAATGACTTCCAACAAAGATGAGACAGAAAAGATAAGACACAGGCTGAGATAAAATATTTGCAAAGCACATATCTGATTTAAAAAAAAAAAAAAGCAAACTTGTAGCCAGACAGAATATATAAAGAAGCCTTATAATATAACAACATACAAATGACCCAAGTATAATATATGCAAAATATATGAGCATACACTTCCCAAAAAAGATACATGAATGGCCAATAACCACAGGAAAGATATTCAATATCGTTAGTCTTCAGGGAAATGTAAATTGAAAACACAATAAGATACCACTGCATACATATTATAATAACTAAAATTAAAATTAACAATATTGGCCACACCAGGTGTTGGTGAGGATGCAGAGGATACATGGCTGATGGGAGTACAAAATGGCACAACCACTTTGGTAAAGAGTTTGGCAACTTCAGCTTCCAGGCTGCCCCGATTCTCACCGTGCCCCGCCCTCCGTCACCCCAAAGCACTTTCACTGAATTTGTCCTTCCTATGTTTCAAGCATTTCCATAGCTCTCCAAATATTTCCTTAATCAAAAACTATCCTATTGGGAAAACTATTCTTTTATCAACCTAGTCTCTGCTCTCAATTACTCTGCTAAACACACCCATGCTAATTAAGGTGCAGAAGGTGTTAATGTTTACATCTATTCATCTGGCCTGGTAATAGAAGCCATAAACATTTCTCACTATACTCCATGGAGCTCTAAAGGTTCTAGTGAGATGCCTAAGGGAGCTCACTGGAGAATTGGGAGAAGCTGAACAGGTCCGCTCTGAAACATCCGTTCTTTCCCAGGCACTTGAACCAAAGCATCTCTGCTCTTTTCTGTTCTGTGTCAGGTGGTGTGGGAAGAAAGAGTTCTTTGGTAACAAGACGTTTGGTAATCCCTGACTTACTCCAGAGGTAATGCTAAAGGTGGAAATTCCAGGGAGGAAACGGCAGATTCCTCAAATCCCAACACATGGGCAGCTGTCTGCTCCAATCCTGAAACCAGCTCAGCCACTTTTGGACAGACGGCAACAGAGATTGGGGTTCATATCCCAGACCTGGTGCCAACCAACAGTAGTTCTTAAGCACATCCTTGCCTCTGTGCTAGGTTGCAGTTTTCTACTCTGAATCATGAAACACAGTCGGACCTCTGTACCCACGAATCCCATCAGCTTTGGGTAGAAAATATGAGGGAAAAAAAATCAATTAAAAAATACAAACTAAAAATAAAATATATATAAAACACATGAAATGGTGTAGTATGTGCATATAATCTACATACCTATAAGGACATGGGCATCCTTGGGCTTTGTATCTGAGAGGGGTCCCGGAATCTATCTCCCACAGATACCAAGGGATGACTTTAACTGGGCTCGATGACTTTCCATTTGGCTCTAAAACTCATGTTTTTTGAGTGCTCGTTGCAAACAGCTTTCTCCAGCCTGCTGCCGAATGTCTACCCCTGGAAGCACCGAGCCCTTCCCACTCTACAGTGCTGGCTCTATTCTCCCACCTAGGCTTCCATGCCTCAACGATGGCTTCCTGCTCATCCTGGCCCAACCACAAGAGAAAAGGCCACATGCAATTGAGACCAGCTATCTTCCCACAGAGATCGGGGAAAGATCCAGTGGTGCTGTGGGCTGAGAATGGTCAGGTCGCCTCTCTGCCATGACACAGGCTCCACAAGCAGGTGCAGATGGAGGTGGTGGGTCAAGGGTGGGGCTGCCTGGGGGCTGAGAGCTGGAGGACAGTGAATGGAGGCTGCATGTGGGATGGAGCAGGGGGCCTGGAGAGAGCTAGGTCACGTGCACAGAGCGATGCAGTACAGCTGACAGGCTCACTAGACAATCTGTGGGGGCACAATCCTTCCGGGAAGACACAGCCAGCAGGACTGTGCCCTGTGGGGTGATGGTGAGGAGTCGGGGTCCACAGACAGTCAGAGACACACAATCATGCCTCTCCCTTGCCCTTGCCACATAGAGCCTGACCTGAATGGGCAAAGGAGAGAAAGCTCACGTTTGCCAGGCTAACATTGCTGATGATTACTGCTAGCTAGCAGGACAATGATTACACACCAAACATACTGCAGCAACTAATTTTCAAGCAGATCAAAATAAATCAGAAAACAAAACCATTCTGACAGCAGAGAAATGTGGAAATGTGTTAAGAGGTAATTACAGTCCTTTCCCCCTTGTTTCACCCGCATCTCTCCCGCCACTGGTGCAGGCATGGAATCGCAGCTGTCACTGTCAAGAGGCCCATGTGCCTGAAGGCTTGTGCAGGGCAGGCCAGGCTGAGACTGCTGCCACTGTGCCCGGCTGCCAGGGACCAACATCTCCTGACAGGGACATTTGTCCATCCCTGACACTTAAAGACAGCATCTCATCCCAGCCAGGGCCCCATACCAGCCAGCCTGGCACTCCACGATCTCATGTTCCTTCAAACAAACCCCATCAGCCCTTGCTCTAGACTGCACGCTTGGACCATGCCGTGGAAAGAGCCCAGCTTCGGAATCAGACAGCCATAGGTATGAATTCCAGCTTCACTAATTCCGGCCTCCTAGTGACATGGCCTTGGGCAAAATACATGAATTCCAGGGGCCTCATTTTCCTCATGTACAAACAGGATACAGGGATGCCTCACTTCTGCAGGGGCTGTGTGAATTAGGAATCATGCATGTCAGGCACCCACGCCTTGGTTTGCTTTCTGAGGGGCTGCTATGCTCAACGTCACTGTCATTCTCTCTCGCAAGTCTCACCTGAGCGGTCACTAGCAGCTGAACACTTTTACTGCAACCCAGTGTCTTCTTGGGAACCTTCCTGGTTGTTGAAGTGTCTCAGGACGTCTCTTCATGGGGCAAAAGGAAAACGTTCCCTTTCCCAGATCATGCTTCCCTCTATTACCTGAAGGAAGCACTCCTAGCTGGGAAACATCAGCAGATACTCAGGGCTGAACGAATGAAGCACACAGTGAGTGAAATGAACACAGGCAGTGAGAACGACTCAGGAGTGCTCATATCCTCTGAGAGGACACCCGAGCCCCGCAGCACTTTCTGAGGTAACTGCTGGGCGTCCAGATTAGAAATGGGGCCCACAGGACAATGACTTGCTGCCATGGAGGAGGAGGCTGTGCAGATGAGGGCTCAAGGCTCTAGATCATCATCAAGCACCCACGTGTGACCTTATGCCACTCCTTCAATCCAGGGCCGTCTTTTAACACCAAAGCCAGGATAGCTGGACAGGATGCAGGTGAACAAGCCCAGCCTGCTGGAGGCTGCCAAGCATGGCCCATATGCCTTGCATGGACAGTCAGTCAACAGCTACCCATCAGGTGCTCCTCAGCTCAGGGATACAGCCTGCACACACGTGCTATCCAGGCATTTGCACTGAGGGAAACAGACAGCCTCCTTTACCCCCTCCCATTTTCTACCCTCAACCAAGCCTGGGGTTGGGGAGAGAAGGGTGACCCTCTCCCTTCCCTGCAGGAGCTCTCCCTATGGTGCCCTTTCAGATTTACAAGTGTCTTCTCTTAGCCCACAGGAAATTGTGCAAAGTTCCTTGAACACCCCTCCATCTGTCTGAGCTTTGTTTGCCAAGTTACTCTAAAAAGTCTAGATTCTTCTTCTGGTTTTACTCTGATTTGTTTCCCAGGAAAGGTCATACCCCTCTCCCCACTTCCAAAAGCAGCAGCATATCTCCATAGTGCTGGCCGCCCTGCTGGTCCTAACCAAGCATCCTGGAGGAGCTCCCAGCCCACGGTCAGAGCCAGCTCTGGGGGTCCAGTTTCTTCTCCACCAGCCCTATTCTCCCCACAATGATCCGTGCCTGGACCCTGGGCTCTCCACTTTGAGCTGTTGATACTTTTGGCCCTTTGCATTCTTGGTGATTCAAACTACAGACAGAACATACTCGAAAAAAAAATTTTAATAAAAATAATATGACAATAAAAATCATACAAGTAAATGAAAACAGTATACCAGAAGAATTATTTATGTAGCACTTACACTGTATTAGGGAGTATAAGTAACCTAAAGATGATTTTAGTACACAAGAGGATATGCATAGGTTATAGGCAAACACTTTGCATTTTATGTAAGGGATTTGAGCACCCAAGGATGTGTCCAGGGGGTTGGGGAGTCCTGGAACCAATCGCCTGTGGATACCAAGGGACAACTGTATTTAGATTGCAAAGGATACAAAAAGTCATCTGGGCAAATAACCTTTAAAAACTAGACCACAGGCCGGGCACGGTGGCTCACGACTATAATCCAAGCACTTTGGAGGCCAGGCAGGCGGATCACCTGAGGTCGGGAGTTCAAGACCAGTCTGACCAACATGGTGAAACCCCGTCTTTAAAAATAAAAATAAAAATAAATAAATAAATAAAAACTAGACTACAGCCAAGAAGCAAAGATATCACTGGGACCTTCTAACAGGGACAAAATTAAACTGTAATATGTAATACAAGCAGTTTCTTTTTAAGGGCCAACATCGGAGTCTTGTTTGCCTATAAACTGATTTCTTCTAGATGTGGACTTACTTTATTCTGCTCTTGGGCCTATGAACATGTGTCCCATAGAACAGATAAGCGTAATGTAGCACTAGTCATAGAGTAAAGTGTCCCTGTTTCAGGGAAAGAGCGAGTCACAGGTAGTGGCCACAGACCTTTCGCTGTCATTTCACAGCATCTGAAATGCAGAGGAAGCTCCATGTTGTAATACTGATGAGGTGAGAGGAACAAGAAAGCAAATCAACTGCCTTGGAGTGACTGCTTTCTACACAGCCAACCGTCAAACCCCCGTGATGCCAACCCTAGGAATAACTTCTAGGAAGTTCAGCCTTTCTTGTGTTCTTAAGAAATACAGCAAATATACAGGCAAATCCCCAAGTTTTCAGTTTTGGAATATCTGCTTTCTGGCTTCCCGCTCAAGCCGTTATCAGTAGAGAAAGCATCCTCCTTGGGAGGAGATGATGGATGATATGAGGCAGACACCAGCCAGGGAAGCAGGAGGAGGCAGGAGGCAGAGGACAGTGATCCACAGGCATGGGCAAGCCTTCAGGGCAGAACTGGAGCTGGAATCAAAGAATGGATAGGCATTGGACGGAAAGGTGAGGAAGCAGAGCATTTTAGGCAGGGCAAGGCAGAGGTGAAAACAGGTAGGAAAATGGGGCCCATAAACAGATTTCCCTGGTGAAGCAGATGGTTTGTGGCCAGGAATGGGCACGGTCAGACAGCAGATTGTAGACAGGATTGATTTGGCCTGCATCTCCAGACAAGCAACTCATTGAGGGTTAGTGAGCAAGGCAATAGCTTGATAGAAGAGATACTTGGGGGATGTTGGGGGATACTGGTCCTTTTGGTGGCCTCATGTATGTTCCATCTCTCCAGAGTCCTAGGAGGATGCTCTGCCCAGAAGAGTATGCTTCTTTAAATAAATAAGAGCAAACATTTGCATGGCACATGGCATGCATTAAGTACTATTCTCTGCACTTGACACACTTTAAAAAAAATGTTTTTTAGAGACAGAGTCTCATTCTCTCACCCAGGCTGGAGTGCAGTGGTGTGATCACAGCTCACTGAAGCCTCAAACTCCTGGGCCCAGGCAATCCTCCTGCCTTAGCCTCTCAAGAGGCTGGGACTACAGGCATGTACCACCATGCTCTGCTAATTTTTTTTTTTTTTTTTTTTTTGGTAGAGCTGGGGTTTCACACTATGTTTGCAAGGCTGATGTCAAACTCCTGGGCTCAAGCAATCATCCTGTCTCAGCCTCCCTAAGTGCTGGTGAGCCACAATGCCTGGCCTTGACACAATTTAAATTATTTAATCTTCATACCAATTCCCTACCATAGATACTATTTTCATCCCTATTTTATAGATTAGGGTATCGAGGAACTAAAATGTTAAATAACTTATACCCAGCTAGTAAGCGGCAACACCAGGACTTGAGCTCAGGCAGTCTGAGCTGGAATGGAAGAACAAACAGGCTTTGGAGGTACTCAGAATACCTAACTCCTTAGGCTATGCTGCCTCATGGGGGAAATTCTCTCTGAGTCCTTTTCCCAAGGCTTATGACAGCCTCCACTTTCTGTTTTGTGTCAAAAGGGAAAATACCAGCTCTACGGCTATACCTTAGACTTAAACCTACAGATATGTTTTGCATTTAGAATGAAACTGGGAAATAGAAACACAAGAGTGGAAGAGCATCTGTATTTCACCCAAATGGGCACTGGAAGCCATGAACTGGACCCCACATCCACCCCTCCCAGACCCTTCCAAGCCAGCCTGAGCAGTGGCAGGTGGCTACCCAATACAGGCTGGAGGTGACAGAGCCCATCGGCCCAAGGACCCTGTGGGGCTCAGGAGAGGAAGATACAGCTGCATGAGAAAGAACAGTGTCTGCATTACCCCAAACAGATCCACCCAAACAGATCTGCGTTGTCCTAGAGAGCACGTCACAGGCCACCAGCCCTCGGCAAAGGGAGTGTCTAGACACCCTTTATCTCCCCTTTCACACTCACTTCACCCACACTCCCCCCCCACCACCACCACCCAGCCCCTCCAGCCCGGCTAGGGAGGATAATGGCCCTCTGTGCCAGGACTTGCTAATGACTTCATGTGCTCTCCCCTTAGATGGAGTAAGACTTCACCCAAAAGAAGAATTGGAATAATGGCAATACAGACATTGTGACATCAGGATGGAGGTGACAATTGAGGAGCAGCCCTACTTGAGATATCACATGGCCAACTTTAAAACAGAAAGGGAGTCCAAGGACTTTCCACTCCTGCTGCATCCATCCTGGCCTTCTGGGTTCCTGCCTGGCTAGGTGGCGTGGCCGTGGGCTCTCACCACAGAGGGCTCTATCACCACGTCTGTAGTGCTGTGGCACTCACTCAAGGAGACTGCTCATTTTCTCTTACAGGAGAATTCAGGCCATTCAGCAAGATAGTCACCTTGATCAATTCAAAAGCCTGAAAACATTGAAATGAGGGGTCACTGAGTATGGCATTCTGGAAAGTGTAAGGCACTCCACGTGTGGAGGGGTTGAAGGGATTCAAGACAGTTGCTCATAAAAGAATCAGGCCCTGCCCTCAAAAAGCTGACATTTCACAGAGAAGGAAGGTGTATGGGTGACATTTCAGAATTTCATTACCACTGGCTCAAGGTAGTTTGCAAGATAAACACACTAGTCTTGAAGATGGAATAACCTGAGGTGGGTAACCACTTCCGAAGCTCGCCTTCTCAGGACAAGCCTTCTGGAGTTGGCTACATAAGGCAAATATTACAAATGAGCTCTGGCTCTCTGCTGGCTCCTGTAGACCCCTTCCACACTCTCTTCCTTGCCTTGTGCCCTGGAAGCCTGGCGCCTGGGCACTGCTAGAGGTGGCTCCCTGGCCCTCCGGCTTCAGGTTGGTTTGGCCAATGAGCAGCGTCAATAGGAAACCAGAGATGGGAGGACAGAGAAGGCAGGGTGTTCTCTTTCCATGTCCTCCTGCCTTGGTATCTTGGTCCTGGAAGTGGCAACGTCCTTCCAGGACTACAGTTTCTCCCTCATGGCCCCCTCCCAGCTCCAGCTCCAGCACCCACCAGGCCCCAAAACTATTTTCTCCCCTTGCCCCTCAGGCCTTAGGGTGCTAACAGCTTCCCTCTATGTTTAGCCCTGGGTGCCTCAATATGCCTTACTTGTCTCCTTACCCCTCCGTACATATGCCCCTCAAAAACTCTGTTCCTTTTGAACCATCTGTGTAGAATTCTGTTTCCTATTGTGATGCCAACTGAATACTGGGTACCCATTCTTTGTCCATAGTCAAGGACAGTTTATACAGAAAACAGAAAGCTTCTTTGGTTTGAAGTTGATTCCTCGCTTCCATGAGTGGCTATACCCAAACCTGTCCTAAATAGACAATCACCATTCTCATGTTTCAAATTCTCCACAAAGACTGTACGTCTGTGTTGTCTAGAGGGCCATGTGTGATTTTGAATCCAGAACCCAGGGGCTCAGAATTCCTCCACGCTAAACCTTTCTTCATCAGAAACTTCACCATCACTCCCATCAGTGGAGAAGAGACAGTCTTCCAAACCTCCTTAACCCATCACCTGAAGCACGTACGCAGATAGCAGAATTTAGGCAGGTTTAGCCTAGCTGATTTCTTCCAGCCAGGCTATAAATCAAGAACTAATCCCCATTATTCCCTCCTGCTCTAGAATTAGCATTCCCTCCCGGGCTCCTTGGAATGTCTTTTGCATATTGAAGTCATTTTCTTCATTGCTCACCCTTCCCTGAGTAGAGGCGGAGGCATTTGGTAACTGGCAGTGTTTTGACAAAGCATGAGTATTTAATCATATGCCCGTTACTCCCTGTACCCCGCACGGCACACAGGCTTGCTGCTACCTGCTGCCAGGGCAGGACAGTGGGCAGAGAGCCAGGAAGCTCCCAAGACATCCAACCCTGGGCAGGGAATGGGGACAAAGCCAAGGAGGTAGGACCCTCCCTTTTACAAGACGCTCAGAGTCTGCCCAAGACCGAGTCAGTCTTCTCTTCCACTTCAGGGAGGGAATGCTTAGCCCCAAATGAACAGCACCAAGATTAACTGGGACAGAAAGGACCATCTCGTTCTATCCCTTACCTCTTCCAGAACTAAATCATCTTTGGCAGATGGTGTTTCTAGCCACAGTCTCCCTGGGAACCTCCCCCAGTGCCTAGCAACCTTCAGCACTGGGGAGTCCTTTTCATGGTTTGGTCTAAATGTCCATGATGCTCCCAGGCGCAGGCATCCACACTGCTCTGTCCATTAGGGGCTCTCAGAGGAACCCTCCCCCAGGACTGTGGACACCACAGCTCTAACTGTTCCCTCGCTGGGAGCCCCCGGCCATCCCACCATGGGGCAAGTATGTGACCTCCCACTCTGGCCAACACTCCCCATGCCCCCAGCCTGCCCAGGAGCATTTGCTTTTCAAAACTTCCCTTTCTTAAAAAGAAACACTTTTCCAAAGCTGGGGGAGTTCATCCGTGAAATCTTCTGGAACAAAAGCAGCTGGCCCAGGCCTTGGATAAGTCGATCGACAAACACGCCAGAGTCCCGTGTGGTTCAAAGTGTCCTTTGTTCCAGCCTCCAAGCCTGTACCTCACTGGATCCTGCCAGTGACTTGCCTTCTCAAAGTCACACCCCTCTGGCTGTTGGCCCCACCCCTGCCATACCCTTGAAAGCTAAACCCTCTTCAGAGGGACCACATCATCACATTCCCCTCAGTCTCTCCCTCTTCCAGAAACCACCTGATAGAAAATGTTTGAAGCCAGTCAAGGTTTGCTGAC